TGGCAGGCATTCAGATTTGATGTCAGAAAATTTGTGGCTCTACCTATGCATCTTATTGAGAGAGGCAGTGTTGTATATTTTTAACTACTGATTTTATTTATACTTGGATTTCTGTTTAGGCCAACTTGTTTTTAACTTCTGATTTTTTACTGATAATTTTAATGTATCTTTTTTTGTTTCTAATGTATATTTTTTGTTCTACTTTTGTTTAATGTATATTATTTTGTTCTAAGCTTAAGAGATTTCAACAATTAAACAGTGTATATATGTGTTTTTTTTAAAAAAACAACCCTTAAAAGTAAAGTCATACCTTGGAAGTCAAACGGAATCCATTCCGGAAGTCGGTTCGACTTCCAAAGCATTTTGGAAACCAAATCGTGGCTTCTGATTGGCTGCAAGAAGCTCCTGCAGCCAATCAGAAGTCACGGAAGCCCCTTCGGATGTTCGTATACCAAAAACCTGAACAGTCACTTCCGGGTTTGCTGCGTTCGAAGTCAAACATTCGAGAACTAAGCTGTTCGAAAACCAAAGTACAACTGTACAGTGATTAAAGAAATAGAAATTCCAAGGTCCAATAACCTATTTGGTTTAGGACAGCCTTTCTCAACCTGTGGTCCCCAGATGTTGTTGAACTACAACTCCCATCACCCCTAGCTAGCAAGGCCAGAGCTCAGGGATGATGGGAGTTGTAGTCCAACAACATCTGAGGAACCACAGGTTGAAAACCGCTGGTTTAGGACATTGAACATCTTCTATTGGATTGTTTCTCTTGGCAGAGGACTCTCACTATTGTGCAAACAACTAATTTCACATCTTTCACCTCCACTTCTCTTAAACGCCAAATGGCCTAGCCCTTTGACAAGGAGGACTCCAAGCATGACTGGATCTCTTTGTGCCTGGAGAAGGGAAGCAGCAGAAGAAGCAAGAGAAAAATGTCAGGAGAGACTGCCGCTGCCTCCTTTCTCATCCAAACCATAAGAGAATCAAAGAATGAATTGTAGAGTTGGAAGGGACCCCAAGGGCCATCTAGTCCAACCACCTGCAATGCAGGAATATTCAGCTGTCCTACACGGGGATCGAACCTGCAACCTTGGTGTTATCAGCACCACTCTCTAACCAACTGAGCCATCTCTCGGACTCTCTTCCAGGGCTTCTATGTTTCATCTGCCTAAGTCCAGAAAAACTGCAGAAACTACAAAGTGGACCCCAGCTATATTTTTTGGCCTCCACCAACTTCAGCACAGATGAGAGATGCTCAAATGAGAATAAGAGGAATCCTGGTGGAGCAGATCAAAGGCCTGTCTGGCCCAGGGTCCTTTTTCCCATGGTGGCCAACAAGCTGGTCCTTTTTCCCATGGTGGACCAACAAGCTGGTGCTCAGTAACTGGTCCTCATGGCCATACTGCCCCTGAAACCAGGAGACAGCGTATAGTCATTCCTTATTGAAGAATCTTCACTTCCTTCACAATCCTTTACACTTCTGTGACCTCATCTATTTGGCATTGCGTCATACACACTGGTACTCCCAGATCAGCCTTTGCTTTCTGTTACCATTTTCCCTTCCAACTTGCTCTGCCACAGACCAAACATTGAACATGCAGGCGTATTCTTCAGCTTTACCGTGAACTACATTCAAGAGCTTGCAGAACCTGCTCCTTCCTCCCTCTGTTTGCAGTCCTTTGTTTGCTGCCTCCCCCCAACAAGTAACATTTTACCACAATTTTCATTCCTGGGCCTGATTCCAAGTGGATTCCAAGAACGAAAGCTTGCCTGTAATTCAATAGGTCATGCCTCCACCTTCGTCTCAAGTTCACCATTTCTTTTTCAAGGCTCACGTACCCTTAAGCCCATCAAACAAGTTGCTAGTACACGGCAATTTAAACATCTGATAAAACAGTTTTGCTAGTTTCAGCTATAAAAGCTTATACTTTTTAGACTTGTGGTCTGACACCCCACCTATTTCACCCACCCCAGTTAGCCCAGAAGATCAAAGCACTGGTCATGTTTTGCAACACTTGTACAGCTGCAAGAAATGTGACTTCCATATGTGTCAACAGCGAACATACAACTTTATACCTTCTCAAAACACACCGGTTGACAAGGAGTTATATCTTATGGCTCAAAAAAACAACAACCCCAAAGGAGTGAGAAACCAAGTTTATATATATGAAACAAGGGACAAGCTTGTATGTGCACATTCATCACACAAAACCATGCCATCAAGGAATGACTAACATGTGAGCAACCATCAACAGATCAAAGCAACACAGAACTTTTGTGCTAACGTCATTTCACTGGGGGTAGTTCATATATTCATCTCCAACCCATCGGCTGGTGAATAAATAAATGCTGCACATTTTAGGGTGTGTGTTTTTAATTTGGGGGTGGTGGAGACAGATAGCAGCTAGGAGCAACCTGGAAATTGCTGAGATTTGCCCAGTGCCTCATAACCAATGATTGTACATAGTGATCAATATCCACACAACACAACTAGTCATCTGGTCCCCTCCCAAAACAATTTATAAGCAAACACCAGAAGTAACCAAGGTGCCACATCAGATAAGCTCACATGATTAAATAAATTATTTGAGAAAGAATTTAAACAGCCTAGATGGTTGAAGTGACTGTGCCAAACTTTGTGCTCAAATTGTAAGGGAAAGAAAAATATTAATTATTGGAGGGGGCATTCTTTTCAGCCTCAGATGTGAAGGTTATTTAAATATAAAGTAGTATGCATTCACACCAATGCTCTAGCACAACTGCAGGTCAATGTGTTGCTGATCTTAAGTTGTGACTAGCTGCAGTGCACAAAGGGAACCACAGTAGCAGTTACAAGCTTCCAGCAGTACGGGTGCTACGCTCTCTGAGATGGGGTGAGGTTGGGAAAGCTCTGGTTTCACAGCAATGGCACCACAGCCCCTCCACCCACACTCTCATGTACTGCTGTTGGTTGTGACAATCTCCAATATCCCACTGGGGATAATAGGAAAACAAAGTTATGAGGATGAGGAAATGGTTGTTGAACTCTTCAGGTTCCAACTGAAATAGAAAAGTCAAAGAATGCCAATCATTAACCAACTGGGCCAGTCAGCTCAACAGCCAAACTCTTGGGCACTTTCTTATTTCCAATGCAAGGGGCTCTTCCAGTTTTTTCTAGGACAAAGTCTGTCAGGCAAGAATAGTCTAACATCTTATTTC